CCCGACCCCCACGTTAAAACTAAAAAAAAAAAAAAAAAAAAAAGAAAATATGATGGACTGTTACAGTTCAGAGCCTCCAGGGAAGATTAGTAATTCTAAAGCTGGCAGCAGGCAGATTACTGGATCAAATCCAAGGATAAAGAGGGAGGAAGAAGGAAATCTGTACCATGCATACATCTACTTCAGTGAAAAATAAGTACATCAATTTCTTGAGATGAAAATACAAAAGTCAATGATTAATTTATCGAACAAACATCAGAATCTTATGCATGTCAAAACCTGGAGATACATCGCTTAGCAAATCTCAAGTTATCTAACTCAAATGATAACGACGATGAATCTTTTGCATTGCCTGCAGTCAACTGTAGAAATTAGATGATGGTCATCTCCAATGATAACATGGCACAAGGAATACGCTACTTCTGGCTAGAAATTAATCTGCTGACTGAACAATCCTTATTAACAATTACACTCGCTAAAATCTTTGCTATGATTAACGTCCTTTACTTTAATCTCGATCTTACCTAAAAACCTCGAAATGAAGTAAAATAATGTCAAGTCATGGAAAAAAATCACTTAATATCTTCTTATTTAGTTTGTTTGGACCAGGAAAATGTTCGCCCTGTCACACAAAAAAAATCCCCAAAAAAAGTACATACAGTCACAAACCAAATCCCCCTCCCTCCCGCGGCCTCCCACCACCACCATCCCAACAGAAGAAAATCGGTCCTTGTCAGTCCCTGGAAGAAGAAGAAGAATGCTGAAGAGATCGCTACACAAAAACTCTCTTCTCAGACGTTCTCCCAGCTGTGGAAGCAGAAATTAATGTGATGTAGTAGTTTGTTGTTATTATATTTTCATAATTGAGGTGGATAGTGGTGGTCTGTCTCCTCATCATAACATTTTCTTGCCATTCTCTTACAGTTTCTGCTGCTACCATTTCTTTTTTTAATTTGTTATTTTAGCCAAAACTAGGCAATACTAGCATAATCCAAATTCATAAAGATGACATATATGTAAATTCAGTTTTGAGGATCATGGACTCCCTACAATTTCATCACAACTTGATCACAGTAAACTGAAACAAGACTCTTCGCGTAATTATCAAGAGACATATCAAACCAAGAAGTGGCTTTATTTCTGGGAATCCTCCGTTCCAATTCTTGAGCTACAAGATTGTATAATTGCAAGTGAAAACAAGATTCATCGTCCATCTCCCCTGGTGTAATTTCTTCATCCTAAATTTGATGCAGGTGGTTCTAATCAGCCAGCTATGGATCTGCCATAACTAGACTACGTGGATAGCTTTGCAAGAATGTTTATTGTCTAGGCTGAGTCGTGCAGGGTGATTGGCATGATGGAAAGGCCTATAACTTTTTATCCACCACCGTAGCAAATAATCCTTTCTACTCCATCAGGAAAGTCACCTCACAATCGTTGTACGGAAGGGTTGTTTTTGTCTCCAGGAAAACAATATCATCCATATTGAACATTAGAATAGTCGATCTCCAACACTGAGCTTGAAAAGCTTTTACGATACCACACTCCATTCAGAACTACACTAGTCTAGCGAGCGAGAGTGCTGACGTATCATATTTACCCATACTAGGGTGGACATCCTCAACATCTGTCCACACACCTGTTCTCGGTGTGAAAACCTCAGCTTCTGATATGAAATTGTACTGATTATCTGTACAACTTGCAACAATTTGATTTGATTTCAAACCATAGGCAATATGAAAAAAACTATCACTGCATATAGGAATTTTAAGAGAGGGGAAGTGCCAATGGATTTCAACAAAAATTAACAGGTATAGCCGATGGTGAGACCTAGTGATGCAAGTGTTTCTGTCAGTTAGGGATCTGCTACAGCTGGGTTACGTAGATAGTTTTGCAGACATATTTATGAATTGATAAGACAAGGTTAAGTTCAAGATAACGCCTGAATTATACACAGTGATCGGCCTAACAAGAAGAACCATGAATTTCAAAAATTAATATATCATAGAGATTAAAATATTTCAATTAAGTTAATTTGAACTTCTATATATGAATAATATATACAATGTGCAAAAGTTATCGCTTGAAGTAAAAACCTTGAGTTTGTTAATTGATAGGTAAGCGCCTGAGGAATGATTTAAAGAAAGAAAGAAGACATCAAGCAAAAGGGATGCTCAAAGTTCCAACAGAGAGTTATCCAACAAGATGCGGTCGGTTTTGAGTGTCTCTGATAGAATAAATGTAAGAACAAACTGTTGATTTAAATTTAAATCCAGGTCAAATTTAATCTAAATTAATCTAGATATTTAGGAAAGAGTTAAAAAAAAATTTCTTTCATTTCTTTTAATTTTTATAGATGTCATAACCCTCCCCTCTTCAAACCAAAAAATTTAATTTTTTTATCTTTAATTTCTTGTTACAGAAAGATAAAAATAGTAAGTAAATGGTTCTCTTTCATATTACTTTCGATTATAGTTTATTTATGAAATGATTAAAGAAGATATTAGGATTTATAAAGATTAGAAATTTATATTATTAAGATTGATTTATAATTATTAAGGGTTTGATGTTAGGTAATTAAGTAGTATGTTGTTGAAAATAAAGATTTATGAGTTTATTTATTTAAATTAATTTTTATGGGTTAAGAAATTAATTTTTATCTTGCTGTAAAATCTGGACAGAATGGTCTTGAGGTTGAAGATGATCAAATTTTATTTTGGTCCTTAAGTTGTGAAAGTTTCGGTTTAGTCCTTAAACTTTGAAAAAATTACAATTTCACCCCTAAATGTATTTTGAGATTCTAGACAGTGAAATTTTGAAATTTAGGATGATGAATCTTATTTTGATAATTGATATGGAATATTTTCAGTTTGGTCTCTCAGTTTTGAGAATTTACATTTTAGTCCCTGAACTTTATGAAAATTTTAATTAAGCCCTGGTTCGTTCTAGACAGAATTTTGGATGGTTTATGGGGGAAAATTCAGTATGGTTATGTAATTCTAGATTGGTCCTTCAATTTTGGTAAAATTACATTTTGGTCTCTATTTTGAAAAATTATCGTTTTAATTTATAAACTTAGGAGACCAAACCTGGTTTTATTTTATGCTTTGGGATCTTTTGTTTGACTTGTTTTTAAGTATATATTATATATTGTTGTAGGTTCTCCTAACGATCCTCAATAGGATTTTCGAGTTTTTCATCTAACATTCCTTTTAGTTCTATATTTTTCTGGGTGAATGGAATAATCTTTAATATGCATATACTATAAATAAATATGTATATTGATTATATGATGAGTACAATTAATTAATCTCTTAAATATTTATATATATTGCTTTATTTTCTAAGTACTCATCTATTCTTGAATTTGCACTCACAATTTGTCAAACTAAATTCTATTCGATATAATATACATTTCGTTGATGATTCTTCTAATATCTATTATGTCTTAATATAGGATTTGTCAGTAACTTCATGCTAACAGAGAGTAGTTAGCCTATGTGCACATAATATTCTGTATACTTAACTGATAAGAGAGGCACCAGTCTGTGACGACTGATCATCTCACAGTGATCACCTTCGGGTGTCCTCTAGTCACTTTTGAGTGTCATCTGGTCGCTTTTGAGTGTTATCTGATCTCTTACATGTATTTCATTATGTTATGATTAGTATGTATATGTATATGTATATGTATATCAAAATAAATCATCTTGTAAACTATTAATATCTAAAATGTATATTAAATATTATTATCTCACTGAGTTGGTTGAACTCACACCTCATTCTTAATATTATTTCAGGTTCTTAGTTTCTATTAACAGGTAGACTTTGTTGAGTGTTTTTGCTTTTTGAGTTT